TAATTTACAATTCCAAGGAGACTTTTCAAGAAACAATAAAAATTTAAGAGCATGAAAGCAAAAAAAATGATCAAAGTTTTCTTTAAATATTTCTTAAGAATTTTCTGATTGATTGCATTGCGTTGAAACCGATCCTACAGAAATCTTTAACGCACCTACAGACGTATAATATCAATGAAACTAGTTGTTCATATAATGAATTGTCAAAAGGAAGCCTTATATGGAAAGTGCTTGGATTAATCCGAATCATTTGTTACAGCTTTCGCGCTTGGTTCAAAAGGTGCCTCGTTGCAACAACTTTGATTAAAAGTTACGGCCTGTAGGTTGAACGTAAGAAAACAAAATGGGCAGACGAACGGACGAGCTTCAATCGATTAAGAATATTTTCCTGAATCACTTCCTCAACCGATCGGCATAATAGATTGTTACGCCATCTCAAATCCTTCAGCATGCTGTTGCATGCATCCGCACAAACTTAATGTACCCTTGTACCACAAGTCGTGTATGCTATGAATGGATGTTTATAATACTGCTAAAAATAGTTTCGAAGAATCAAAAGTAGGGTGAACGACCTCATGGATTTTATGTGGGAATAGAGGAGTTTTGTCATTTTGTTTGCACGTAAATCTATCTCGTCACAGTTCATATTATTATTATCTTAAGCGACTTGACCCCTTGTCCGCGGACATGTACATCGTCTACTGTTCAAATTTGAAATTAGGCAACCGGATAAGGCACATAGAATACGACTCTATCTGCTGCGGCTAACACCTCAATATCTCTCTCCTCACGTCTTTCTGACCGTCGCCATGTTACAGTAAAACAATTTTGAAAAGGAAAATGGAAACTTAAAAAGTATAATAAACACTAACACTTGCCTCCAGCAGATAATCGAAATTGAGTTATTTCATATTCGCCACTATGATTGGAAAGTCCAGCGAGCAAGACAATCGTCATTATCAATGCTAGATAGAAACTTTAAAATTCGTCCATATGCGATTATATTAATGGCCTACACGTATTGTTTGCGAATGCACGCAATATGCGGATGAATTTTTGAAAGAGTCACGTTTTATTGCACCAATGGGTTCAGATTAGTTTTGCTTATTGTATCAATGATTTCAATCGTATCCGTACGTATGTCCGCTTGTAGTGTGTCTATGTGTTTCTGTGTTCAGCCTGTAGATCGCATTTTTGTTTATGAAGAAAATTGGCTCGTTGCGAGATTTTCATTCAACTTTGAAAGCTTTAGAAAATAAATTTGGTCGAACTGTTCTTACTACCGCTCGCCTATATGAAGGCCGCTTTGTTATATGAGAATATTTTGCCAGACTTAGATCATACGGAACCATTCCTTGAAGAGAAAAGCCTTTATATGCGAACGAACTATAATTTTAAGTATTTTGTGAGGAAAATCGATTTATAGAAATTACATAAATCTACTGTGTTAAGTCTCGACCACGTAGATGTATTCTTCGAACGCTTTCCCCTTCCCATTTCCATTTTCATGAAAAGTAAATCTTTAGGCTTTCAAGGTATAATTTTAGGCGTTTCGGGACAAAAATAAGTAAAGTTTAAACGTCGGTTTCACGTATTTTCTTATTCTTTATTACACTCTACACTACTTGTGGCGGGAATGTATGCAGCTCCCAGAACGACTTGAGATAGATCCACCACTTATTATATTGATCGATTCGTATTTACTTTCTCAATCATTGTAATCTTGTCCGTCCTTCTTAGTTTCTTGTGTTTACCTTACAGAGCTATTTTGATGAAATTTGTTACGATAACGTGTTTTGGGCTATAGATCAAGGCTATTGCAACCAGTTCGCATTACACTACGTTGTCGATCGCTTTCCTTTGTAAAAGTTGTTATATGAATAGCTGCAGGGCGATGTAAGGCATTTAATGGTGAGTCGAGGACCATTACAATAATTTTACTTGTCTTTACCCTATGATCTCAGCTTTCTTAAACTTTGCTTTTTGAAGTGCATCTGTCGGAAAAAAGTAAAAATCCTTTGTTTACATTTCACTCTCATGAAACTTTTTGCTACATTTTTTAAGAATCGGTCAGAATTTGAACACTACAAAAACAAATTTAAAATTCTAACAGCTACAATCTTGTTAAGCTTTTGGGTATATAATCGACTGAGATATAGGCGTCTAAGGCAACGCAAACTCACTTCGTTTTGCTTATATAACTAAACTAAGAAAATCAAGAGAAGATTTCTTTTAAAACTTGTTTGTTGAGTTTGTTCAACCCTCGCGTGTGCGAAAGAAGGAAAATTGAGTTTCATTATGGACATCATAGATAGATGAATAAACGTATTCTGGCTGCGTATACAGATATATAAATATATATATTTTACGTGACATATGTGAATTTTCCGAATAATAAATAACTTTTGCTTTGTATTTTTTATTTCTTCTTTAATTGGCTGGGGGTTTCTTATAAACATTTATCGCATGCAAGACGATTAAGTTATAACAGGTCGTTGTATACATTATCAGAATATTTAATTTGTGTTTTTCTTTTTATGTAAAGCTATGATCTCCTAAGCTTTTAAGGCTATTAAAAAGTTTTAGAGAACTTGTAAATAAATTGTAGTTGAATTATTACATTGTATTAGTTTTGCGGTTTTTGATTTCACACCACAGCCCGCAATTAAAAACGTCAAGAAAACACTATTTATTTTTAATTCAACTAGAAAAGCTATACATTATTTTATATTATTATGTCACGGTTTTATTTTGGAATGAAGTAATTTAAAAATTTGTTAGTACATATATATATATATTGGGTATATTTTATTGCATCGAAAAAGTTTCAATTAATGCATGTTTTAGTAGTTAAGTACAAAAATAAAAAAATAAAAAAAATTATTTTATATATATTTTTCTTATATCTACTACTGGAAAATGGACATCTACTCAATTTGTCGTTTTCGTTTGATATATTCAGAAGGAGTATGAATTGCCGATCGATGTAAAAGTTTAGTAAAAAAACATTGAATCATTGAAAAACGTAGTTAAACGAGTTGGAATGATTTTAAATGGCTTGGCCGATTCATAATGCATACACCATAGCAGGTATAGGGTTTAAAGACAAAAGTACTAGTGCTATAAAAACCGCGGCCTGAATCGGGAAACAAGTTCACACATATCTCACGTAGCTCCTACTTACATAGGCTAATCACTTTTTTACTAAGCACATCCGGGTATGGTGCACGTAGAATGTAGTTTTTACGCGTCTCCATCATTCTCCTTTAACTTTATTTCAGTAAATTTTTCGTTAACGATACGATTATCTTCCGTATGAAATTAAACTAAACTAAACTAAAAAAATTGTATTCATCCTGGAATAAATTTTGAGAATCTGGAAAATCCGTCCGTTTCTTAAGAATTAAGGCTGAACATTGAACACCATACAACATATTGTTTGAAAGATTTCTTTGTTTATCTTCCTCAAACGAGATCAATATATATGCTTTCCTTTCATGCAAAACCATACTTTCCTTGGGAGCCCTTCTCTGGGGAGTGATTTGAAAAATGTACCTAACTTACCCCGAATAGTTTATACCTCTAAGCACTACCCTGTACCAAATCTCATCGTAAAGCACTAGATATTAGATCTTGTTTCCATAAAAAGGGTGGGCTAGAAAATATTGCATCTTCATTTATAATATCAAAATGTTGTTTTTCATCGATATTATTCGAGATATATTAAAAATTTCACTTATTTTTCATATGTAAACATTTCCGAAGTAGAACTTCATGTCGGGAGAGGTTGCAAAAATGGATCGATCTAGCTCTTTTTCAATAGAGTTTACTTGCGGCTCAAAAGCATGTCAGTGCATTAAATTCCCTTAAAAAAGTTTCGTATCTCCGTCTTATAGGCAGGCAGACAGATGGACAGACAACTTTACATTAATGCCGAAAATGATTTTGAGTCGATTGATGTAATAAAAAATAAGTCTATTCCAAGTCCTTCTGGCTATCGCACGTACGTAAGTGTACAAATGGTAACATACTGCGTTTTGAAGGAGTGAAATGTGTTTCGGTTTATGGCAGTTGAAGTTGACAGTTCGATATCACTCATTTCCAAACACGATATGTAAATCTAAACAAGATTTTTGCTCCAAATTGACCATCAGAGTTCCAGTATTCAGGACAGGAAAAATAAACGGGAAGAAGAGAGGGATGGACGGACGTATTAACGTTGACATTAAATATATTATATAAATTCTTTTTCATGCAGTCTTTTATGCTTTTTCTGAATGTTACGAATCGAGAGTTCGCAAATTGGTATTGAGAGGAACACTATGCTTTTAGTTTGCGGGAGAGGGAAACTTTTAATGACTCGTTAGCGAATAGTTTCATTGTAAATCGGATTGTTCACGCTCAAGAATTAAATTGTAAAAATTATGTATTTTTATTTGTTTTTAAAGTGCTTTCTTTAAAACTTAAAATTAACAAATCTTTTTTTTTTTTTTTTAAAGTTCAACAAATTATTCTCGAAGATTAGATTTAATTCGAATATTGCTTTTTTAAGTTGTTCAGTTTGAGATAACATTTGCGAAAGTTATTTACAATAATATGTAAAAAGAAAAAAAACAGACGAAAAGAATGGATAATAACATGCTTAATTCTATCAACCAGGGTTAGATATCGTGTACGTTTGTTTGCTCTTTAGTATTTTTGCTTTCAATGTATTGGGTGTGTTGCGCATTCTGTTGTTTTGTGCATTTTTTCCTTTTGTAGCCTGCATACTTAATTTAAATAATATAATATTCAACTCACATTTCGGCACGTAATATAAATATTGCAAATGCGTACCCAAATGCATACACACTGACACAAACACGCATAACTATCTTCTATACACGTTGCTATAAATATAAGTTCATAATAAATGTAGGAAAAAAAAAAAAAAAAAAAAAAAAAAAAAAAAAAAAAACAGCCAAAAAACGAAATTTACATCTACTTATAACTTCATTCAGGTGGAAACAAGTCGGGAGAAAATAATCTCATTAGAGTTGCAAGACCCCGAAAAAGCTGATACACCACAAACATCCTTGTTAGCAGACGTGCGAGACAGTTATATCGCAAGTGGCAAAGAAGCAAACGATAGACGAACAATTCGGGTAGATGATGATGATGATGATGATGATGATGATAAGGGTTTACCCAAATATTATGTAGATATCGCCGCGGAGAGAAAGCTAAAGTTGCAAATTGACGACGAAGAGGAAGGGGATGAAGAAATAGATGCAGCTTCGATTGTAACTGTACAAGCAAACACTGAAAAGTTATTCTTACGTACAGATGACGATGAATTGCCATCGATTGAGGTCGTCAGCAGTAAAAGCACTAATAGCGATTTATACGATGTCGGCCGCTCTGCCTTGAATAGTGTGGCTTCCTCAAGTTGCGTAAGCATTAAGCCAGCGCTTATTAGTATGCACCAAACTTTGGCCAAAGAAGTTTTGATACCAATAGTTACTACCGCGGTGAGTACAACAAACACAACAACGGGGCGAACGAGCTCAATGGTTGTTACAACACCTGTCACGACAAGTTTCAATGCGACTCAACGCATCGTTGAGGTAGTAAATCCCATAATCGCGGGTGACGGTCAGGTTCAGAGCATCATTGTTAGTCGTTCTGAGCACAGTGAATATCCCTCTTTCGATAGGGATGAAGAGGAGGTAATGACTACCGCCTCGCCACACATTTTGCGTAGCGAAACTTTTGTGCTACCAAGTAGCAATGTTCAGGCAAAGCAATGCGACGAACTTTCACTTAATGCCAAGATGAAGAATGTGTTAGAGGAGCTATTAGAAAATGAACGTGTCAAATATAATTTACAAAAAAGTCTTGAACAAGATGAGGATGAGGACAACGAAGACGACGATAGTTGCGAGAAGGGTAGCGGGGACGAGACAAATGCATTACATATAAGCAAAGATGAAATTGACTTTGGGGTCAGGACAGAATTCAAAGGATTAAGTGCTAAACAGGAGCAATCATCTCAAGACAACAACGGCAATCAGGAGAGGATTTTAAATGAATTAATGAGAGATAGCAATAAGAACACGATTAGAAAATTGGCTGCAAAATTAAGTGACAATAATGATAGCGATGATAATGTGGGTGACGATGATGATGCTGGCGATGATGTTAAAGCGGTAGAAGAGGAAGATGAAGAAGAATCTGAAGATTCAGATGATAGTGAAACAACCGATGATGATGACGATGATGATGATGATGATGACGAGGATGATGATGAAGATGATGACGACGATGATGAGGGGGAAACAATTCATGTATCGTTCGTTGACGGTGCCAAAGTTATAGAAAATTTAAACATAAACACTTCGTTAAAATTGCAAAAATCACAAACTTACACAAGCATTAAAGAAGCTGCTTGTGAAGAAGAAGCAGAAGAAGAAGTTATAATAACAACACCAGCAACAGTAATAGAAAGAGGAAAAACAACAACAACTACGACGACAACGACAACGACAACAAGAGAATTAACAAATAGAAAGGTGTACGATGACAACGACAACGACAACGATAAAAATATAACACTCGAACATCTTTTGGCTGAACAAAAGAAATATGAAGAAATTGCTAAGCAATTACGAAAATCCGTTGAAAGTCTTCTAATAGATGATGGTGATAATGATGATGTCATTACGGCCCATGATAAAGAAATTAAGACCACCCCCACTGCCACTACAACACAAAAAGCACTAAATAAAAAATTAGCGGAAACAACCAGCCCAACGTTGTCGAAGAAGAAACAAACCGAAGAAACAGGTGAAGAGATATTCAATCGCTTGCTAAATGCAGGCAATTCACATAAGCAGATATTTGATCAAGAAACTGATGAAACACTAACAACATCAACTACCAGCTATACAGATGAAAGTGGGTCGAATATTATTATAACCACAACATCCACAAGTATATCAAATATAGTAACTAGCGGCATACCTCGCTCTACAAAGGTAACGGAGAAGGTAGTTAAAACCACGTCCGCAAACACTGGCACGAACAATAAACAGAGTGATAATGATGAAGAGTCATCAGCTTAAATCATTACCAAAATGGTGGGTTACCGTGAATTTCGCGGTTACGTTGCGTTGCAGCATTTATGTGTGTGTATGTGTGTATACATATTATTATGTATGCATTTTTGAAGGCAGAGTTAATGTTTTCTTAGTTTTTAGTTGCAAACAGAGAAAAACCTGCAATTTTTTTGGTGATAATAAAAAAAAGATGGCCGCAGCTACAAGCAAATGAGGTAAATAAACGTTACGTTAAAAATTACGCGGTGCATAGTTGATAATTAATTATGCGGCAATTTGTATAAAAAGCTAAAAGGGGAGACAACAGGTGTAAAAGTTCTCTAGAAAAAAAATACAAAAATAAGAAGTAAGTAAGAAATCAAGAAAAAATTTATATCATGCGGTTAATTGTTCATAAAAAATTCGAGTTTTTATGCCCAATTATAAATAAATAGTTTTTTTTTTTTACCTTGAACGTTGATCGTAGGGATTCTAATATGATACGAAAAGTTTAGGTAAGGCATTTCAAATTTTCAAACCACTAACCGTTAATGAATTCCCATCCAATCTAAACAAATTCGTGACTAGCGTTTGTAGAAATTATGTTAAACTATCATTCGCAGAGAAGCAATTTGAGAGAGCCCTTGTCATTGTACATAAAACATTAAATTAGTTAAAACCGCTTAAAAAACACTGAAGTGAGCCACAATCCACCAATAAATACCCTACATCACTCTACAGTTACTCATATAAAGACTTTTCCAAATTGAATATCGTATGGGAAATGCTTCAAAAAGTGGTCCAATCCGAAACATTTTCAATAGTGTTCGTTGTTTGGCTATGTAGCAAATTCCTTCCAAATACCTCAAATATTGCGGCCTGTGGATTGAACAGTACAAGACGGTCAGGCAACATATAATAAACAGTTAATCTATCGCAGCTATTTTTGTGTTACAAACGTTCGCTCAAACTTACCATAGCTTTATACTACAAGTCGTGTAGGGTACAAAAAAAATACTTTCGACTCGAAATGAAAACAATGGAAATGAAAACAATCTGATGGTCTTCGTGTATTTATTTATTTACCCTAACAAAATGCACCTTTCATGAGTTAACATATTTTAGACGAATATAAGCGTTTCCATCATATTTTCGCGATTAAATTTCCGCACAGGCTCCGTAGGCGAACTCTTTGATATATGATTTATGTGGCCGATGGCAAACCGCCCAGAAAACCAGATTAATTGAAGCTCTTTACTCAAGGAATATAAACTACTTTTCGACAATCTGCATGACAAGTACGTGCAATTTAGTTTAGGGAATACAAAATACTTTTATAAATTAAAAGAATCGAAAAGGAAAGATAACGGTATGCATTCCTTAAAGGAAAATTATAATTGTGTCACTTTTTAAATATTCCTGTATATCATAGCACCTAACAAAAATCATTTTTATGCAGATTTTCAAATGGAGAGACATTATCGTATCCACCCTAAAAAAAAAAAAAAAAAAAATGTGATCATTAGGCAATCCCATCTTACCGTAGATCGATATACATCTAATATACCGATTAGAAAATTTCACAGTAGTTTAAAATTTCGAAATTTTTGCATAGAATTTACCTTAAATTATGTAAAACTGAACTGGTGTTTAAGCTACAGCATAAAGCAGCCCCTTTCCACTATAGTGCATTCAAAGTTACTTGATTTCGGCCCATTTAAATTTCTTCTTTTTTTTTTTATAACAATAAGCCGTGACTTACATACGAAATCCATTTACCACCTTTGTTTTTTCATAAAAAATCATAAATTATAGTAAATATATGTAAATGTATGCATGATTGTAAACAAATGATAATCTGCGATTGTAATTAATTCAGTATATCATTACGCTGCGCATATTGATATAATTCGCATAACAATTAATAATTATTCACTCA